TATATATCTCTATATATATATATCTCTCTATATATATATTCTCGTCAAAAAAACAAAAACGCAGTAGTATTGCAGTGTGCAATGATACCTTTTTTATTGGATTAACAAAATATATAAAAGACAAGCTTTCGAGAGTCAACCTGTGTGTGTGTGTGTAACACACACACACACACACACTGATCAGTCATAACATTATGACCACCTAATATTGAGTAGGTCTCCATTTTGACTCCACTAGCCCTCTGAAGTTATGTTGTGGTATCTGGCACCAAGCTGTCAATAGAAGATGCTTTAGGTCCTGTAAGTTGTGAGATGGGGCCTCCATGGATCGGACTTGTTTTTCCAGAACATCCCACAGATACTCGATTTGGATTGAGATCTGGAGAATTAGGGTTCAACACTTCAAACTCATTGTTGTGTTCCTTAAACCATTCTTGAACCATTTTTGCAGTGTGGCACAGCTCATTATCCTGCTGAAAGAGGCCACTGCCATCAGGAAATATTATTTCATGAAGGGGTGTACTTGGTCAGCCATGTTTTAGGGAGGTGATATGTGTCAAAGTAATATCCACAAGAATGGCAGGATCCAAGGTTTCCTAGCAGAACATTGCCCAAACCATCACACGGCCTCCACCGGCATGCCGTCTTTCCATTGTGCATCCTGGGGCCATCTCTTATCTAAACCCATAAGCAAATATTTCCTATCTTACAGCTTACCAGTCCTTATAGAAGAACTTTAGGAAAATAAATCTTAACCCTTGCAGTGGGGCTACCCTCACAAGGTTTAACTGCTCTTTTTCCTCCCAAGTGCGAAATTAACAAAGTTTTTTTATACTCGCCTGAACCTCACAGCCGACTGGATGTTAGAGTGCTCCCCTTAGCCTGTCTCCTTGTCTGCTCCAGCAATAGACTGTTGCTCTAGCAATGGACACAGTGTATTGGATGTGAAAACTCATGTGTCGTAGACCGAAATAAATTCGATACCGCACCCATCCTAGAAAAAAAAGGTTAAGCTGCACCCAAAGAGCATAATGCTAGAGAAACTGACGTGGACTGTGTCTGTGTAGCAGTTTCTACTTTATTAGGATAAATAACTCCTATTTATTGCCATAATCATTAATAATGTATTCTAGGCGTTTCAAGGTGTTAACTACTCATTAAAATATGTATTAGATATATTGTGAAATCAGCATCATATGAAAATTGTTTTAAAACTAAAGTTATATGTCCTTGGCACAAAAGCTATGCTTTAAGGGCTGAAACACACTTTTCTCTTTGGTACGTTGCTGTAACATGAACGTTACCGCAGTGAATATTAACGCCCATTACATGTGTTAGTGCATTGTGGTTTAGTTCATTTTGAATGGCACCCCAACAACACTAATACAATGCAGTTCCAACACATGTGTTGCAGCACTGCACAATGCAAAGTAAAGCCATTGCAGTGCATTGTTGTGTGTTGCATTGAAAAAAATAGAGCATGGCCTTTTTTGTTTGTTTTGGTGTATTGCCAACCCTAATCATTTGAATGGGCTGCATTACCGCAATGCACGTTAATGCATTTAAAAACGTGCGCTAAGGCTATGCACTAGGGTGCCAATGCCTGAATGGGCTCTTAATGTGTATATATATATATATATATGCAATCCATAGAACAGACTATTTTGCTTCCATGGTAGCTGATATAGGCACTATGGACCACACCCATCTAAATGTTTAGCTCATAAATCCAGTTAAGGAAATCGGATTAGAGTTCATAAGCTTCCAGGTGATGCTATAAATTATTTTCTCCTGCTGTAATATGTTTTCTATATGGCTTCTGCATCACAAAATCAATCACTATAGAGGTGGCATGTTAAATTGTTTCTTATGAGACACAGACTTCTATGAAAAATTCTATGACTCCTAATTTTTTTAATATGTGTCTTATTTTGTTTTTTTTTTGTAATAAAATGTATTGACATTGTGGTATTTTTTTATCCCCTCTGCAAATTAGCATTCAACATGTATATGGTGCCCAGCATCCTCCTTTTGATCCACTGCTTCATGGAACGTAAGTCAAGTTTTTCTCTTTTTAGTCCTTTCATCTTCTTTTATATTAAAAATGCAATAAAGCGTACGCACAGGCTTTTAGCTTGGTTCATATGCCCTGTAGACAGTTGGCCTGTTTTTTTTTTTTTTTCTTGTTATGGAAATGATAAAAAAATGTGGATTGTTGATTGTCATTCAGTTGGTATGAACTGTGTAAAGTTCGCTCTTCGTGCACTTCTGAGAACTGTGCAATTAAAATTATTCCAATTTTATTTACACATTTCTAAAAACAAGCTTTAAGTTTTAATATCGGGCTTGTGTTTCCTGTTGCAGGCAGGCGGAGCCTATATCTCGATGGCTGTCCTCTCGATGGCTGTCCTGGAAGATTCCTGGAAACAGAGTTATCAGGTAATCAACTCATGTTTTTTTTTTGTAAACCATAACTAATACAGCAGAACTGAAAGGTAAGTGGATTCATGGAAGACGTACAGCACAAACAGTTATTTGACAAGGTTTTTATGTTTCATCTCTAATGTCCAGCTTCTCTCCCCCTGCCACTATTACCAGCAAAATGCAGCCACTCCTGTGAAGAATGACACTTGCAGCCTGCAAGTGTCATTGAGTATATACAGTGAATAAATGTGTTTTCAGTGTATTTACTATATAAGGCATATGCAGATCAAAGGTGAAGTAGTAAATAAGATGACATCACTTTTTTACAGTTGTGATAAGCCACTTTTGTGGTTCACAAGTCTTGCCACTCTGTATACCAAGGTTTGTGACACCACTGCTTCCTGCCCCTCTTGTTGGAGGCTGGTTAATTCTTACCCAAGGTTAAGGGGGTTCACGACCACTCGCTCCTTTTTTTGATTAAATATAGTAAGAAAAGATTGCTCTTTTACAAACTGATTACAAGTGGAAATGCAACTTTACAAAATTCCCCTAAAAAAGGTTTTCTGTACCGGAGAGTGACAGAGGAATGCGGAAGTGATGTAGTAAACATCACTTCCTGCATTCAGAGACCGGGGAGGAGAGCGGAGGGAGATCATGTACTGATTTCCCTTCATTCTTAGTGCACGGAGCCACACTGCCGGTCCCGGATCGGACATCTGGGATCACGGAGAGGGAAGGAGGGTGTGGCACAGAGAGATTCATCATAAAAGCGATCAGGCGTCTTTACAGATGTATGTAAACAGCCGTCGCTGACTGTTTCAAAATCTGGCAGTTTCCCGCTCGTGCGTGCCAGGGGGCGCGCGTGGGCACCAAGGATGTTTAAAGACGACCACCCACATTCAGAAAGCTCCCGTCTGGCCGTTTCTGAACGTTCGGCAGACTGGAGGTGGTTAATAAAAAGACAGAGTTTAATGCTACTTTGAGGATAATAAGATATCATATGTGAACATAATGAGGAAAAACAAGACTACCATCAGGTAGGGCCAGGAAAGGGTATTATAAGCCTGGGATATATCGAAAGCATCAGTAACCTAGGTCGAAGTGGTTAAGATGACGTTTTTTCCAAATGCGTACCCCAGCTTGTCCTTAAGGGAAGAAAACCCACTTGGTCCTTAATAATTCAATGTTGGAGTAGAAATAGTTCACGCAAGGGTGTTTGAAAAAGTACAGACATAACCAAGTAGACAATCACTATAGCACTATTATCTGAATGGGAAAAACAAAAGGAGGCAGTGGTTAAGAAGGATGACTGCACAGCCAAGTATTAGTCCAAAGGTGCAATCCCTGCTATGTCTTTAAGTAAAGAAAACAACAAACATAAGGAGGATACCCTCTCACTTGAGCTACCAAATGCCGTCTGGCACAGGGCTAACAGCAGTTTCAGGAGCAGAAGGGGGCATTAGGCACCCACAAACATATATACAACAGAAGAATATCATCAGTACATGAGAACTGTGGCAAGAAATAAAAGTTCATCTGATACATCCAATCATATTGGGTACCCCTAGCTCTGCCTGCCTCAAGATCCAAAATAAGTAAGGAAAGAAAAATAACAGAACAATGGCAAAGGAAATGGGGGTCACCCTTGGATGGCTTGCAAGACAGTTCAAAAAGACTGGACGTTATGAATGCTGGACATGGCACAGCACAAAAGTAGCAAGTATAACTACATATAACAACCCACACTGAACCCACCTAGGGTGCACAACACAACCAGAGCAAAAGATAATTCTTGACATCAAATCATAAATATAAACACATAGCAACTACAAAAAGGCCCTAGCAATACACTGGTAACAAACAGGTGTTATCCCAATTTGGGCCCCCCCACCTGAGGCAGAGCATTGTCCCTTTTTAGAGGAGGTTTTTACTAATAGGTGGGCCATGCCCAATATGGATTCTCCACTAATCCACATTTACAGAGAAACAACCAGAATGGTCAAAGGTATACTTGCCTTTGGGTACTTCACTAATAGGAAATTGAATTTCCTTCTTAGATCCAGATTTTGTTAACTGTGGTATGGCTCTTTCCTGTGCTGGTGGTAACTCTGATCCGTAAAGTCATGTAAGAATGGATTCATTCCTTATTCTCCATCTACCCTAAACTATCTGGATGGAGGAATCTCCCGCTGGGCCAAGCTTCAGTATCTTGCTAGTTGGCCCCGCTGGCTCTCAAAATACGTGAACAATGCCTGCATCCAATCAGATTGTTCATGTATTTTGACAGCCAGCGGTCTTGGGTCTCTGGCTAAGGGTACTTTCATTGCCCCATGGCTGTGTACATATTGCTTGATTGTGGAGGGTTAGAGGACTTTTATTCCCATGGATCAGGTAGACAGGCACTTCAGGGGGCTTTCCCTGTCAAGTTCTACTAACTCATGCTATGCTTGTCTTAATGTTTTCTGTGCTGCACTGTGTTTCTGCACCAGTATGGGGTAGTTGTTTTCCAACTCCTGTCTATTTTGGTGGGCACTTTTTGACTTAAGTCTCTCTGACTTAAGGCGGTTCAATTGGGGATGTCTCTAACTCCTTAGGTGTTGACCATGCCCTTGGGCATTGTGCTAGATAGTTCTCTATCTTGATTTATCTCCTATGAGTTTGAGTGGCTTCCCTAGAGCCTTTTCTTTCCTAATGCGTAGGGTTGAACAATTGGGGATTACGCCTTTTGTCATCTTTAGATTGGCTGGGAAACATTTGTGTTCCTTTTTATTGTCCATTCTTGTTGTTTAGTCTGTTCTCCTGCTTCTGTTAGTTATATTACTTGACCTGTTGGTGTTTGCTATGGTCCACATCTTTTGCTGGTGTGGAATTGGTGTCCTTTGAGGTAGTCATTCCCCTTGTTGATGACATCTGTTGGAGAAGCAGGTTGATCCTTTGTGACCTTTCTTGGGTCTTTAGCAGATCCCCTGTCCCTTTTGGAAACTTCACCTCTTCTTCTGGTTCAGATTCAGGCATTGGTCCTTCTGTTAATTACACATGGCTTCTGGTTCTATCTTGGATCAATCAGACGCTGTTGGTTTGCTTTTGGATGTCCAGACTTTACTTGGCATAAAATCTTTTTCTTGATTTTCATTTGAGGACACAGGACCCCTCTTTTGTCTGTCTATTGGCCTTCTGTACTGCTTGCCCACAAACTGAAGTATGATGTTTAGAGGTGGTGCTATATGATGTCTGGCCTGTAATGGGGGGTTTTTTTTGGTTGCTAGTGACCAAAGCACCTGTAGGTGGCAGAATTTAAGCAGACTATTTCAGAATTCCTAACTTCCTGTGTACCTTAGAAAAAAGTTAGTGACATTTAAAGTCACAATACTTCTCCTCCCTAAAGGTTCTTCCCTATTTATAATGGTCTGGCCCTCTAGCAACTTCAGCGCAAAATTATAGCTAATTTGCCTACAGAACGTCAGGTGGTCATAATAAACTGGCCACTCAGTGTATGTATGTGTATAGATATAGATATGTATATTAATGGCTGGTTCCTCTTTGCTTTCCTGAGGACTGCCTCACAGCAGTTGAGGCAGGGTAATTGTACAGTTGAGCCATCCTGCTCCTTGTTCAGTTCAGTTATTTGCAGGTTTTCACTGACTGTTTGGAAATCTTTAAGTTCGATAAAGTAAAAGTTGTCGTGCTGTTTTCCAAATGTTCTCTCTGTTAAGTCTGCCTTCAGCACAGCAGCTTTCCGAGCATACAGACTTCATTTGTTTACAGTATAGCAATTTAATATTGATAAATTGGAATGCACAAGCTTGTTCTCCTTTATTGCTGTAGCTAAATAGAAGCTGCAATGTAAAATGTGTTGTAAACAACGCTTCTGCTGTTTTAAGAACACAGTGCTAAACTATCTCCGTGGTAAAATCAATCAATGTACATGGTTTGTCAATTTCCAAACACATTTTTACTCTGCCGATGCCTAATCCAGAAGAGAAAAAAACCTTTAAAAAGCTTTTAGACAGCAACATGGGAGTGTTTCTCTCTGGTAAGCCTGATGAGCTCATGCCAAATCTTTGTTAAATTTACTAGAGTTAATTATGTTAAAAAAAAAAAGATGCCCATTAAGGCAGTCTCCTCCCAACCTCTCTGAGTCCAGAGGAAGACAGAACAAGATCCCCTGGGTAACACTGGCTTCTCTTTCCATCACTAGAGGAAACAAATTTAGTTGTAACTGCCTAGACCAGGTAGGCAACCTCTGCACTACACTTGTGGGAAAACTAAAAATCCCATCATGCCTCTGGGATGCAAGTGTGTGGCTGTCGGAGTCTTGCAATGCTCAAGGGACTTGTAGTTCAACAAAACTGTAGTGTTGACATTGCCTGCCTCTGGACCAAACGTATACAATTTGATTATTTCCCTAAATCAAAACGTATCCATAGTATCCTTTAGCAGTTATCTAGTTCATTTTTTTTTTTAATAACTGTTATTGATTTTGCCATCTACCTTGTAAAAGAGTATTTCAAGGCTTACCTAATCTTAAAGTGGACCTTTACCCATATCTTTAAAATAACAGCAAACTCACCTTTAGAAATGTTTGGTAATGACAATCTACAAACACATACTTCTAGATAATTACAGACT